AGAGTATGATATTATTGAATTGGGTAAGACAAGAAACCCTTTCATTTGCCACAATTACTACAATAAGGGGAAATTAGTTCAAATACCCTGAACTATGGGTGAAGTCAACACCCCAACTGCAATGTGATAAGATCCTCCAGATATTCAAGAACAAATTGCAGAAATTATATCAAGAAACAAACTGAAATTCTTTATTGAAGAAGATGAACAGTACAGTGACCTAGGCAGAAGCCTCCCAAAAGAGAAGAGATCGTCAGTCTCTAATCTTCCCAGTTCCCAGACCAAAGTCCCAAAAGCCTTACCTACTAACCCCTCATTACATCTATTTATACTAAAATACTATATAAGCCCTTATTACTATTATTATTATTATTATTATTATTATTATTATTATTATTATTATTATTATTATTATTATTATTTCTATTATTAAACTAATAGGTGGGTCCCCATCAATACTCCCCCCCCCCCTAAACATCCACCTTGCCCTCAAGGTGGGCGGTAGGAGACAGCCAGAATCTTCTGCTTCTTCCTTTTCCTTGCTCCTCTCCCTTCCCAGTACATAACTGCTTGCTGGACCAGAAGCTTTGGTATTTGTTCCTTCCAAATCACTGCAATTTCATTTGTTGCAGTAGCCTCCAAGCATTCACTAGCTGCAATTGTTTCCTTGTTTTCATCTTCAAGGATTCTCACTTCTGGAGTTATCAATGTGTTGGATGCATATTTGATGTTATTCAAGTTACTCAACTCATTGTCTGCAACAAGCCCCATGCAAATTTCTCCATTTACAATCCACTCTGTCAGGCAGTTAGTATCAATGATATAATCATTTGTAATAGCAGGATTTGTCTTATACAACTTCAACAGCCAACATAAGTGGTGCACAACAATGCTACCATGCGATGTCAGATTTTCTAACTGCCAAGGACCCCAGTCTGGCCTGTTTTCTTCTTCCCTTTTCCTCATAAGAGAGCCAAAAACTCTTGCAGCTAAAGAACGAACTTCAGGGACCACAACAAACTCCTTTATGTTATAAACCTGTCCCTCAACATTGCTGCCAAGAGCAAACTTATCTGTCCATTCCAATCCAAAATCTGCGGAGCTCCAAGATATAAGCTTGACAAGCGGGCGTTTAAAAAGACAGCATTCTTGACTAAATGAAACATCAGTTGAAATACAAAATGACTGCTCATAGGTATCTATTTACCTGTCATCCTTAGCTTTGTTTTTGGGGAAAAATTCAGTCAATAGCTCTAGATAACGAGCAGACACACCACTTGCACATTGTACAATGATACAAAAACTGTCAGCAATATTAAATTTACCCTTTATTATCATCCCAGGATTGACCTCTGAATGAGTGAAAATTGATCCTTCAATTGCACTAGTTTGTGGCTTATTATTCACCAATCGCATTGCCAAGGCATCCCATAATAACTCAAAGCCTTCACCGACCAGATTTTGGTCCTGACTTTGAGTATAAGCAGCACACTTCTCCCTCCATGGAAATGATAAGTATTCTGTTTCAGCACGAACAAACACTCCTGTCCTTTTTGACTTATCTGCGTTAGTGACTTCCTCCTCCTGCTCTTTCAATTCTGACAACTTCAACTCAGTGTTCATCATTGGCGATAAAGTTCGCTATGATCCATTTTCGTATACAGCTTGGTATACAGCTTGGTCTACGGCTATTAAAATTGATGAAGTGTGCGCATGGTAAGGAACTGCTAGAGTCGACAACTGCGAACTGAAAGAGACAGAATCTGCGAACGATAAAGGTGAAAAGACCTGCGAACTCAGGGAAACAGCTTGCGACGAAGATGGGAATTCTTCTCTCACTCGCGTCTTTCTTGGACGCGAACTGATAGCCGGTGAAGAATTCTGAGAATGGTGAGGCGAAGAGCTAAGAGAAGAGCTATGTGAGGAACTCTGCGAACAACGATGCTCAACTGTCGATGAAGTTGACGATTCTCCTCTCACTCGCGTTGGACTTGGTCGTGAACTGCTGGATGATGATGATGTTCGCGACTTCGAACTGTGAGAGGAAGTTCGAGTCCGCGAACTGTTAGAAGCCTCTCGCGATGAAGATCGATGCGATCTGGGAGCTTCTTCGCGCGACACAGTCTGCGCACTTAGCGATACCCTGGGGCAATTAACTCGCATCTGCGAACCGAAGGTCGTTGTTGACGAACGTCTTCTAGCCTGAAATTCGTTCATCGCCTCTAACTGTCGGGTCATCTTTTCTGCCATTTTTCTCATATCTGTCAATTTCTTCATCATCGATGTCTGCTCCCTCTCCAGCGACTCCAACCTCTTCTCCATTTCTGGTGTACAAAATTCTTCCATGATTCAGATTCTTGGTCTCCAGGAAGTATGTCTCTGATACCAATTGATAAGATCCTCCAGATATTCAAGAACAAATTGCAGAAATTATATCAAGAAACAAACTGAAATTCTTTATTGAAGAAGATGAACAGTACAGTGACCTAGGCAGAAGCCTCCCAAAAGAGAAGAGATCGTCAGTCTCTAATCTTCCCAGTTCCCAGACCAAAGTCCCAAAAGCCTTACCTACTAACCCCTCATTACATCTATTTATACTAAAATACTATATAAGCCCTTATTACTATTATTATTATTATTATTATTATTATTATTATTATTATTATTATTATTATTATTATTATTATTATTATTATTATTATTATTATTATTATTATTATTATTATTATTATTATTATTATTATTATTATTATTATTATTATTATTATTATTATTATTATTATTATTATTATTATTATTATTATTATTATTATTATTATTATTATTATTATTATTATTATTATTATTATTATTATTATTATTATTATTATTATTATTATTATTATTATTATTATTATTATTATTATTATTATTATTATTATTATTATTATTATTATTATTATTATTATTATTATTATTATTATTATTATTATTATTATTATTATTATTATTATTATTATTATTATTATTATTATTATTATTATTATTATTATTATTATTATTATTATTATTATTATTATTATTATTATTATTATTATTATTATTATTATTATTATTATTATTATTATTATTATTATTATTATTATTATTATTATTTCTATTATTAAACTAATAGGTAGGTCCCTATCACAATGTGTGACATAAATATCCTCAACATTGTAGTACAAGTTACTCCAGGACTATCGACGTAAAGTTTTTCTTTCTTAAATGTAAGTTCATGTGTTTGGAACTGCTTCTGCTTCTTTTTTAAAAGCAAAATCAGAATCAGAATCAGTTTTTCAGAAACTGGACTCACCCAGCTTCTAAAAACTGCTTCTAGGAGTGATTTGGAGCACCAAAAGTATTTCTACACTTTCACTCAAACACTCTAATATTAGTTTCTGCTCCCTAAAGGAGCATAAGCAGTTTTAAGAAGCAGATCCAAACATCCCCTTAATACACAATTTAATAGATACTCCAAACATTTTGTATGAGCATTTTAAACTCACTTCATAGTTCATTCTTACCGTTATTAATAAACCGCTATTTCTTGCCCTTGCCTCTCACAATGAGTTTTCCTTCTAAATTTAAAAAGAATAATGGCAGTTACTCCGTATAATTTATCTGTGGTTGAAAAAATGCACCTCAAGTCCTCATTCCGTGAGGGGGCTGACTTCATTGTATTCTTCAAGGAAATTCACTTTTGGTGTGAATTGCATATGTATATGTAGGTTGCATGGAGAGATTTGATTTGCAAAGCACTGTGGTTTCATTCCTCGAGAGATTGCATCAAGTTATTTTGCAAGGACAGGTCATGCCACCTCCAGAACTCATGTCGCAGTTCTTGGAATACTTTCCTGAATGCAGATTATACTTCCCCCAACTTCAGCAGCACTAGCTTGGTTAAAATCAGTTCACACCCTATCATTCCGTTTTCATTGTCTGCCACATCGTATCATTTTGCAGTATGGAACTGTATCCTTCCCATTTTACTTCCAATCTTAGTTTAATAATTTATGTTGGGACTGCTTATAATATTACAAAGTTCACAGTGAATATGAGTCAATGGAATTACACTTCAATTCGTCTCACTGTCTCAGTGATCTGCTGTTGAGTAGATATACTCGCAATTTTATTTTCATGGGTACAAAGAATCTTTCATCCGTGAATAGGGGTGATGGACAGTCTAACTCTGATCACCAAACAATTCAGAACATTGATAACAAACGTGAGTAGACAGACCTGGTATAAGAACCTATGTTTCAAACTCTGATTTAATATGAATTGGTTCTCGCCTTCTAGGTAGGCCTATTCTGCTCTTATTTTCAGTTTCAATCTAGTTGTAGCACCAATTTTCAGATTCCACTTTGGAATGTACTCCCTTTAATTTATAAAGAGCATCTCTTTACAAAGACCACATTTAAACAAGTATATAAACACCGGTGAACACACATAACAATATAATACTGTTGCAAAATTAAGATCCAATTTATGCGAGCACAATCTTTTTAAAAAATCGCGTGGTTGAACTTATTTCTAAGTAAAGACACATTCTGGACCAGTATAAATAACTAAAGAAAATAGGGAGTATATGGTCTTTTTCATGTTGGTCTAACCGTCTAACAAAAATTCTTACAGTTGTAACTCACTTTTAATTATCTGATTTTAATATTCTATATACTAAATATTTGTTACTCCTTATATTCGAATTTAAATTTAGTATTATTTGCTAAAAGATACTTGAAGCATATCACAAACTTGTTTTTCTTATGGGAAACAAGTCAAATGAGCTTTTCTTATGGGAACAAGTCAAATGAGCTTTATGGGGCAACAAGTAATACACTGAAATGATACTTTTTAAGCCTGTAACACTGTAATTACTATTTTAGAATGTAATTGGCATAGGTGGCCAGGTGGGTGCCACAGATTGATAGGGTTCCCCATTAACCCAGTAAAACACATATTAGCCTATTTATTAATGAATGTAGGTCAGTTCTAATGAATTGGGTTAAATGAGTTGGATTCTGGACAGATTGAATGATTTTTTTTGCATCGATAGCACATACCTATGAGCACAAAAATGAAAGTGGTGTAAATGTAGCATCACTCTTATTGTAATCCTTTCCCAGGAGAATGGAGTTTATTTTACACATACTCCGTGTCTCCGTATGTGATACCGAAGTGTAAATTAGGATCTAAATGACTGAAAGAGTAACATAAATTACAAATACATCAGCAATATACTTGGGCACAAGCACTATTCCCTATATCTTTGTATACCTTCAGGCTGCAATGCATTAACCATATTTGATCATTTGAGTAAAATTACATGCTGTTGTGCAGTGTACATGCCAAGCCATAAATCGTTCTCATTGTCATCAATAGCAGCGTAGAAAAGACCGGAAGTATTACACAAAGAACCCAATTCAAGGGCAAAGGTAGCTTAGCCACTTACAGATCAGAGTTCAGATTAGGTACATGTGATCTAATTTTGGATCAGTCTGATCTGTGCATGCTTCCCATAACCATGATGTGCTTCATCCATCAAGAATGCTTCACCGATAGCCTCTCTGATAATAATTCTTTTATTATTTCAAAACAACAATACCATACAAAATTGATACAGAGGTGAGCATAGTTAAATACTCCGTATAACATACTCCGTACTAAATATACATAAACTTACTTATAAGCTCGTAAGTTACTATCATTGAAACTCCATAGAAAGACATATTAAGGAACCTTGGCCCAAAACCTCTGTAGAAACCTCTCCACCCCTCTTCTTGGAGGAGTACCCTTGCTGTTCTCATCACTGATGGCCGCTGTCGCTCCCCAATGCCACTGCCTCCCTCTTCACCATCCATAACCTATATGCTGCCACGCTTTATTGATATTGCATACATAGACATCACACGCACATAACATGAAAACTGAGAAGTAAATGATAAACCAAATTAGATGTAAGCATATAATATGTGCCTGAAGCCGTGTTTTGACAGTGTCTATAGGAGTTGTAATAACTGAAGAACAAGCACCAGCTAACATTCCAGCAGTAGCTTGGACTGTAACCATCTCCATATCAGATGGTTTCTTCACCATTCCATCATCACTATATACCTGCACACTCCTTGAACAAATAAAAAAATGTGTATAATGAAATCATCCATCAGTAACTTAAAACAAACAACTGACATGTAAATATACAGTAGCAACTTGATAAAAAATACTCCGTAATAATTTGACCCAAGTACCTCCAAATAAGATGGTGAGAAGCAGCATAAGCACCCCACCACAGTGCAGAAGCAGGGGACTGATACACAGCCGTTAATCCAAAACCTCTATACAGACCCCTCACACCTTCGTCCTTCATTACTTTACGTACAACATCAAATGTCCCATTGCAATGTTTAGTTCCAGGAAGCCCTTGAACCATGAGTCTCTGGCAAACCTGTTGTAATGCCCCCACAATACATACATCAGAAAATTGGACATTCACCATCTCACTTGCATTAGATTTGCATATCCATGAATTCTATTTCTTCTCAAAAGGCGCACAGTTTAATCTAATATTCTATCTATTAACAACTAAAACATACCTTTAGAATACAATAAATGATTCATTCAAGGTTCTTAAGTTAATTTAGATTATCACTCACCACATCCAAAGGCACAAAGTACACACATGAAATTAGATTTGACATCATGCCAGCAACTGCATTTGACATGCCAACACGAGTTGCTTCCGGTATATCCAAACTTTGTGTGCGCTTGAGCATGACATCTTTTGATACCTCAAGTGAAGTCAAAGCGAGCACTCTGCCAGGCAGTGATCCAATGGCTGATGTGCCAAAGCCTCTAAATATGCCAGGGATACCATCATTCTTAATTATGTGTTTAAAAACAGACAGTCCTGTCATGCGCGATGAGAATAATCCGGAACTAGCCACTTGCATCCTTGTCTTCACAACAGCTGTTGGATGTATCAAAGCAGACTGGGCTGTGAAGAGAATAGCTCCAATGACATGAAATCTTCCTTTGTCTAGCCTAGACACAAAGAAATCTCAATGCTGATTATTGTTTTAAGAAACACTGCAAATAAGAGTAATACATGGATGATGATGGATCATTTGAACAAATATGAATTAATGATTCTTATTTTAGGAGTGCATGGGTCAATTTCAAGAAAAAAAGATGATGGTCCCAGCAGTCGACATAGAGAAGGGGTGGAAAGGGTCAATCCCCCGGATTTTTCCTAGTCTGAGTATATGTGTACAAATATTTAGAAACTATTATAACTATGTTGAAAAACAAAGCTTCAACCCCTCCAGTATAAATTTTCAAACTCTGACCCCCTACTGTGTTATTTCTGGCTCAACAACAGGATGGTCTTAATTTAAGAAATAGATTTTGTTTTAGTCGTATTCATTAAATTCTCCCAAACCCCTTTCACAATGAAGTTGTGAAAATACATCAGCAATGCAACCTAACACTGCATGGTGACCTGCCTAAAAATTAGCATTTAATTTTCTAATTGGGTAAAATGGCATGCCCAGGCAAAACGCCAACGTTAGTGGGGTTCAATTTAGAACTATTCTTGACCCCCAAATGGGGTTCCCTTAGGATCCTTTTTTCATATACGCCCATTGCATATAAACAGCCATGTTCCTCCTAATCATACTTTCAGATAGTTATTAGAGCTCTTTTTTGTACAACTGAAAAGAATAACTATTGGGGGGGTCTGTTAGGCTAGGCATGCATTCGCAACGGAAAGGCTACAGTAGTTTATAACACTTAACAGCATAACCGAAAGGCTAGGCATAACTGCGACTCATACAGCCGCCGCCCTCCGCCGCCCCAAGAGCGCAAAGATACCTGTCCCAGCAGATGTCGGTGTCGGATAAAGCTAACTCGGAGGAGGTACTGGCGTCGTATTCCATTGTGAAGACGATGGAGATGGAAGTGTAGAGAAAGTTCCAGCAGTTCGGTATTTCACGTCAAATGGGGTAGCACGGCGCACCGTTACAGAGAGCGAGCGGGCAAAGACTTTGCTGCTCCCGGGCCGCCTACACAATGAGTCTTGTTCAACTAAAATGCCCCTCAGTAAGATGTTTTTTTTGGACTGGAATTTGGTGGTCTGGTCTGATCTGATCTAGTCTGAACTGGTCTGCTCTGGTAAAAGTTCGATCTCTGCGTATTTTATAACTACGGAAATAAAGTTTGATCTAGTCTGGTCTGGGACTAAAAACAGTCCAAAAGAAAACATCCTAAAATTAATAGTACTCCCTCCGATCTAAAATAAACTTCACTCACTTCTATTTTTGGCAACTTTGTACTATAAAGTTATTTTTTACTATAAACACCCATTTTCTCTCTCCTATTACACTTTATCTACTTTTTGTAGGAGTATGATGAGAAAGTCAAAACAAAAAAATCCACTTTCTAAAAAATCGTAAAGTCAAACCATGAAGATTATTTAGGACCGGACACCGGAGGGAGTATTTCTTTTTTGACGTTTTTAGTTATTTGTCCTTCTTTCCTTCTTTGTTAAGCTTTTTTTAATCAAAATACATTTATACCCTCATACGTAGTACGTAGTATTATTTCTACTTCTTTCTCTTTCATACTTTATCATTTAAACACAACTCATTACACATTTTACATTATTCTTATCAGTTTCTTCTTAAAACCAATGTCAAAGTCTAGGGGAACTGATGAGTGCCCTGATACCAACTGAGTCCCAAGTGAGGTAAAAGTCTAGAGGGGGTGAATAGACTTTTAAATCTTTTCATTTTCAACCCTTTTTCCTTTTAACAGAATGAGTTCCAATATCTTTTGGAAGATATTGAAACATACAACAGAAGTCTTGACCTCAAGAGTGTGACATTTTATAGGAACAAAGGTTATGACCCTTTTAGTTGTGAGGAGATGGGTTAAACATGGTACAAATGTGTTTGCCAGAAACAGATGTCTCAAGGAGCTGGCTGCCAGACACTTTGGAGTTGACTGCCCAAATCTCCAGGAGCAAGCTACCGGAATGAAGATTCTGTTTTAATTAGTTAAGGTATAGCAATGAACTATACTTTACCACATTGATAGGCTTTAGAACTAGTCTTAACACATAAGTATGAAAGATTTAGATCTATAACAATAGATCACTTTGATGACCAGAAAACAAAGAGTTTATTCACAGTGAACTGGAAATGTTCACTGAACAGTTTTAGTGAGCAAGATGTTTTACTGTGAAGTTGTGAAGGTGAGTGAGAACTGAAGTGTGTGTTGGGAGCAGAATATAAAAGTTGACACAAGATATTTTCTGGTTCAGAGTGGTACAGTGTAATCATCCTACATCCAGTCCCAACCTATTTCAGATGGATTTCCACTAAATGAATATTCCATTACATTTAGTGCCCAATCTATCCTTGGCCCAGGCGTAGATTGTGAGGTTTTTCACAAGGAATTTGAACACCATTACAAGCTACTCAGTCATCCCAAGGTTTTTCACTAATGGCATTGACTTTCCAAGAGCTACTCATGTCCTTGCCATTTCTCACATTCTCGATTTGAACACAAAGCCCTCCAGAATGTCTAACACTAGTCTAGATTACATGGGTGTAATGCTAAACTACCAACTAATCTAAGCTCTATAGGTTTGTATGAATTGTAGCTAGTCTAAGAGCATTAGACGAGTAGGGTGGTAGTCAAAATGGTGAAGGGGAATCAGCTGGCTGGATATGAGCATGGATAGTTTGATCACCTTCTATTCCACTTGGCTCCTCTCGTTTTACCACACTTGGTCTTGCCACACTCCTTCTGTACCATAGTAACAACATCAATAGTTAGTGTATCATTTATGCATTTTATGTGTGCAACATGTGTCTTTCCAGAACAACTATCACCTTAAGAGTAAGATGGACTACTGGAGTAATACAAAAAACACTCCAAATGCTAAACTTGGTTAGTTTTATTATCAATTTTAACCGATTGATCAAATGTAGTACTCTACTACCTTTTTTCCATCCTTTCTAAAGGTAATACAAAGTCAGTTCATTTATAATGTCACCGAAAGCACCACGTGGAGGGAGGTCAAGTAGTCAAGAAGGCAAAATGAACTTCTAAGAAAATTGAAGCAATGAGGACTCTTCATGTTTTACATATAGTGACACTAAGAAGTTGGCGACACATGGAGATTGAATTATATGCTTTGATGGTGGACAACGTCTTAAAAGCGGAGTGAGGTTCATCTTATTATGAGTTGATTTGGAGTTATAATAGATTTTTGTTATCTCAAAATACTAATTTAATAATGAATCATCCTACATGGATTTGTGATGCGAGTTTCCAATTTGATTGCTAGGGCATTAGTTTTTTCTAGATCGAGAAGATTGTTTTAGTCTTTGTCCAGATGTGATTGTAAGTCAATTGACAAAGATCTTGCCCAGAAACTTCCATAACGTTGGCGTGATTCGGTTTGAGCAACGGATCCTGACGTGATACATCTTCGTAATAAAAATAGAGTGGAAACATGAGTTGGTAACTAAAGCCCAATGCAGGTTGAACTCTCTTGAATCTAAGCCCTTCAATATTATCTATCACCCTTCAATTTGAATTAGCAAGAGCTATGTCTCCTTGCATAATTTGGATTCCAAATATTCCCAAGTATCTGCGGATTCATAACTCATAAACTAAATGGGGATCAATTCAAATGTTATAACTCCAGTACGTCAAGAACGCTATGTCATTCATTTACAACCCGACTCTGTCAATTGAAAAACAAATTATAGTAAACAAATTGAGCTGTAGGCATCAAGGTAAGGGACCGAGATTCTATGCTGCTGCAGAAGCGGCCGATCACTCCAATTTGGCTTTGATAAGCGAAGATAAATGACAATAGGAGTTGATCCCATATAAAGTTCTGACCATCTATCAGAGTAAAATGAAGAAAGGGACCTCGGGGCATTGCCCATTCTTCTATCCCATTTTACGTGTTTACATTTTCTTTTTTAGGTGTTTCAAAATAAGTGCCGTGTTTCTTTTTTTTTGAAAAGAAATATGTGGTTCACAACATTTCACTTTATTATACTCAAATCTCAACTACAATTTTTACATTTTCAACCACTTCAATGCAATGAATAACTTACCACCCAAAAAACGCCACCAAAGGATTTATCATCTATTGACTCCCGTATAAATTACTAAATGTATCTCGAAATGAATCTAGTAATTAATAGTCAGAGTTGGAATTAGGTGAGAACGAGTAATTTGCATCTCCTTGTTATGTAATATATGAATGTTCATTGCCCCAACCCATACATATGATTAGAATCCATCCCATTATTTTATGTAGCCCTAGTTCAATTTCTCCTTATATGTGTGTGTGTGATGTTATATGTGAATGAGGTCAGATTAAACTTTTGGACTTGGACATAACACGTTGTCAACATGATAGCTTTGTGTAAACCTATTTCTTTAATTTCTAATTCTCCCCCGTCAGTCTCCCTTGAGCGTGAACCAGTGATTTTCATCATGATCCACAACAGACGAAGAAGTTAAGGAGGATGATGACTGGCGACAAATCAAATTGAAAAGTTCTTCGATTAGCGATTGAAAGTCACCCCCTTATACAGAATGATCTTGAAAAGGAAAAAAAACTTGGTCAAGTGATGATCCAGGTAAATATGATCTTGGTCTCTTGGAATAATTATAGAATACGATATTTATTTACATTCACGTCAATTAACCATACCATATGTCAATTTTGCCTTCCAAATTTATGCATTATACATTGCACATGCATTTTGTTATAGTTTAGTTATATGCTACTAGCTGGGTGATAGGTGCTAGGGTTTAGCTTTACACATATTTATATGCATGAACGAATATTCATATCCAATGAATAATCTAATTTATCAATTAAAAGAAGTTGATCACTATCACCCATAGATCAAATCAATTTGTTGCGAGCCCACACATGTATATGATATGTTTTACCTACTTGAATATATATTTGGAGTACACATAGTATTGACGATGTGTCAAAGATTGTGGTGATCGTGCCTTATTATTCATCTAAAAGGAAATATATTTTCTTACTGTGATTTTTTCTAGGCATGATTATTAATATAAATTATTGAGTGTATCACATGTTCATGAAGATAAAATTATATCGAATTTAATTGTTCAATAAATATTATCCCCCAAAAGATATATGGTATTGAATTTTGTAACCACATCTTTTAGAGATGTTATCATTTTTGTGACCATTATTGAAATTGAGTAATGGTGATCTTATTGGCCTATAGTTTAGTTCTTGCTTTCACTCCTAATTTGTGTAGTTGTGTAATTTATTTAATATCATTCATTACTAAACCGAACAATGAATCAGAAACTTCTTGAATAATGTGCAAACCTCTCGAAATAGATGGTATGTTTGATTATGATGTATGGATCATTTGATATGTGATGGATAATTATTGAATTGATATATAATATTGTTGGGATTTTTATTGAATGTGCTTTTCTTTTAGTTCTACTTATAATATTTTAAGATGAAATTTTGTAAACATGTTCTTCATGAATTGTAAATTATGTTTACTAAATTTCATATATGTCTAAGTAAAGCGTGTAAAATACTTTACGCATTCTATTTACTCGTCATTTTATGTTTTTTGAGGTAGATGAGGAATAGTAGTAGAAGATAAAAAGAGTATGAAAGAGAAAAACAAAAAGTAAGACAAAGGAGAGAAAAAGTAAAAACACCCTGAAATAAAAGATGATAAAGTGACAAGAAATAGAAAAAATGAAAGATGAGAAAATAGATAAAAGATTCTTGTTGGGAGGAGGTAAATGATCCTAATATCCAAATGTCAGGAAAATGTGAATATTTATCAAAGAAAAAGTGAGAAGTAACTTTTTGGGGTGCATAAAGTAATTAATAAGATCTAGAGAGTCATCAAACAATCAACAATCACAAGATATCAAAATTTGGTGAAATCTTAGTCCTGATTTCATAATTTTAAAGTTAATCACAACCCTAATACTAGAAAATTACGAAAACAGTGCTCTTAACTCTCAACTCTCACCAGCCAGATAAAAAACTCTCAGTCTCAACTTGCCAAGGTCCTAAACAGAAATGAGGGTCCGGCGACTGCATGGTTCACAGCTGCCGGAGTGTGGAGCTTATCTCGAGTAGCCTCCACAAAGCCTCTGCATGCCTGGCCGGGCCCCACACCTGTCTGATTCATATCCGACTCGTGATTCTCCGCAATTGACCAAGCGCCGCGATTTCTCATAGTTTTGGCCCGTCAGTGCTTCACAGTAATGGATTACTCAAACGATGGAAATGCTGCAAAACCAGACGATCAAAGTGCTATCATGCCTAAAACTGAGGCTCTTGATTATGATTTGCCAGTTGAGAACATGATTCCAAAACCTGTAGGGGTATGCTAGCAATGTATATAGATTACTTTTATTCTGATTGTTTGAACTCAATGCTGTTAACTGTTAAGCCATCCCGAAAATACAATCTCATACATAAATATTTGAGTTAAAACCGCTCATCCTTGGTAAAAGCCTCACCTTTTAATGAAGTATGGTACCAATTAAACTAAAACTAACAAGTGACTCAAAAAGATGATTTTTAGATTGGCCAGCTCAAATGATCCTATCATTTTGAGGGCAGGTTAACATATACCAAGGAAATGTAAATATACTGAAGTCTTGGGCTATTTATCCCATCAATTTGAAATTTTAGAATGAAACTCAATTCGTAACACATATGCATGAGAGCTCTTTAAATTACATGGCATTGTAATGCAGGACGATGTTGCTAGTTCATCGGGAAGCAATGTGAGGTCGTCCTTGCTTGCAATGGGTTTTTCACCATCACTTGTTGACAGAGCAATTGAAGAAAATGGTAGGTCTCATTTTGTGTGCTACACTGCTACTCATCTTGTGAAATTAATTTACTTTCTTGCTGCTAACAAAAGTGGGTTTAATAGACTGATTATTCTTGGTAGGATATGTATTGCACCAAGTTAAGTGCTTTAATTGTTAATTTTTCTTATTGTGCTAGAACATAATGACATCTCATATGTTGCTTTCATTTTCTAATGGTTTGCGGAAATGGACTACTTTCAATCTAGGTGATGGCGACGTTGACTTATTATTGGAGACTCTTTTTGCATATCCGGTAACAACTGAACACACCATTCTTATGGAAGCATTTGATATGATGTTTACTCTGGACATTCTATCATGTTAAACAGGCTCTTAATAGATCAGACTCATCAGATTCATTGGATAGCTTGTTTGGTGATGAAAAGGACCCAGTCAGTGCTGCCCATCGTGGTACTGTGCTACGTATAAAAGAGGTGGTTTAGTTAGGTTTTTTTTTTTACTTCAAAGCTTCTTTAAAATATTTCCTACTTTACTTTTTTCTCTTAACTAGTGTTGTATCTACTTTGAGAGGCACATACATTGTTTTCATCATGTGGTATTAATCAAAACAAAAACTTTGTACCAGTTGAACCAAAGCTGGAGTTTATAGTACGTTTTTAATTACAAGTTTGATAGACTACAAGGTTGAACTATATTATTTGGTGCCATTTGTTTATAATGGCTACAGAAGTGAAAACCAAGCTAGTGGAAATAATTTAATGTAATTTATTTTCTTGCAGGAGCTTGATACATGTGAAGTTAGAGATGAAAAGAAAGAGTCTTTGTTAGCAATGGATTTTTCTTTAGATGAAGTTGAGCTTGCAATGAGAAAGATTGGTGTGTGTTAGTCTCTTGATTGTAGTTTATTATCGTGAAGAAATTCACTTATTGGACTAATACACTCTTCTCTATTTGAGTAGTTACTAACAACCTTGAATAACCTTATAGGAATAGTAGTCCAAGATTTTGTATACGATTTTGTGTGTATATTTGGGAGGAAAAGTCCAAGACTTGATATGCAATTTTATCTTTATATTTGGCCAGTGTAGAATGAATTTACATGCCCCATGAGACAAATTCTTCAACAAACATGTCGGTTGACATCTTTGAGTGCTAAATAAATACAATGGATATGGAAGGAGATACATCCTCTCCATCCCAAAATTAAGTTCCCTCTCCTATTTGCATGTCCTAAAAATAAAGTTCCGACTTCAGTTTTTTTATATATGGAAAGTTTTTATTAATCATTTACCCTTTTACTCCCAAATCACTTTATTGAATTAATTAGTGTGTGTTACTCTCATTTCACTATTCATTTACCCCTTTACTATACTCATTTGGGTACTACATCTTTTAAAACCCCAGTGCATTTTTGGAAAACCAACTTTATTTCTCATTCTATCTAAAAGCCCGTGAAATCAAACCCCGAATTTTAATATCGGGACGGAGGGAGTACTATTTTTTATAAATTAGAATATTACACACTAGACACTATCATATACTACGTAATGAACTTTAATTTTAAACAAAGCATTATTCTAATCTAGATATATCCTTGCATCGCACGGGTACTTCATCTAGTACAATGGATATAGAAGGAGATGCATCCTCCTATGACAGGAGGACAAAAAGCTTTCACTACAACTACCTAACCATTAAGGGTCTGGATGAGAACGCATAGTGTCTTGCCCATCTATGTAGTTCAATTATGACAATGATGGTTCTAAGACAAGGATTTTAAATTATCTATATGTTTTAAATCCTGATTGAAAGCTCAATATTTTATGAAGTTTTACGGAGTACCTTTTTAATAAAGATAAGAATAACTTATCTTTTCTCTTACACTTTAAGGTCCGTTAGTGAAAGGATCATCAAGGTCTGTACTTCAGTATCCAATGCTCTTTCTTTCTGTAATAAGCAGGCAAAGACGCTCCTGTCACTGAACTGGTGGACTTCATACTCGCTGCTCGAATTGCTGGATCTTTTGAAAGAGAAGATGCCAAAGAAATTGACCAGGTTTTTTATGTGTTTTTTTTTTTTCCGCCAATGCAGTATGCAGTTAACAATCGTTTACTCTCTTCTAAATTAATCTCAAACACTGTTTTTTATTTCATAAATCCAGTGCCCAGTCAAATTGGGTAATAATTTCGGAACACAGAGAGTAATTTACAAATGTTTAGTCTTAAATTACCAAAACCTTAAGGTTTGGATAGTTGTTCCAAGGCTAAATAGTTGAATTGTTTCAAACAATGAGGCCTTAATATGTTAGCATACCCTCTCCCAAATGTGTCAGAATTGTTTGCTGATAAAAAAATTGTTTGCTGATATGAGTTCTGCTGTTCAGGAATGTGTCACTGAGGTATTGTTTGGGACCATGGACAAGACACTCAGGTTGAGCGAAATGGGCTTCTCGGAGAATGACATTTCAAATGCGATAGAAAAGTATGGTGAGTAAACTAACGACCAATTTATGGCCACCTTATAAAGTATTTGTGGTCGTGAAGTAATGAAATGTAATCAAATTCATGTGCAATGTAAATTTACACTTAAAATATACTCCATCCATCCCATTGCAAGGTTTCCTTTCGGTTTACGGTGGTCCTAACAATAAAGTTAATCTTTCCATCAGCTTCATGACATAACATTAGTCATTAAAATCTCTATATTCATAAATTACGCTATAAGTTCTATTACATCGTAAAAATCAATTTTAAATATTATTGAAGACTTTTGTATAAAATCAGAGATTAAAAGAGAGTTAAATTTACTATGTAAATAATGCATGAAAAACTTAAACTGGGATGGAGGTAGTATTCGATTACAGTGCATTGTTTCATGTTATAACAGTACACCACACAACACCTCAGTGTCTTCAATTGTATGCGATTATAATTCTGTTACAGCCATGTTAAAATTCATCATATTCTCAACTGTTTGCTTTTTTGCGGAAACTTGGAATGGACAACAAACATGCCAGCCAGCTTTCCTTGCATCATTAATGAGTTGATATATTTGAACCACATTTTTTGTACTTTTTGTTTCAGGTTCTGAAACCCCTCTTGAAGCGCTTGCAGAATCAATTGTATTTAATAAGAATCCTAACATCTACATTAAAAGGGAAGAAGAGGTAAACACTTGGTTTAGTAACATTATATTGGGTGTATGCGTATCATATTATTAGTCTTTCCCATCAACTTATTGAAGAACCAAACGTGCATGAACATAGCCATATTACTCATGCCAACTTGAGTGCTGCTATCCTTTCACATGATAGTACACATGATCTTTGGCTTCCCTTTTAAATCACAATCATCTTAAAGATAATTAATTTTGTTGCTTCCTAACAATCAGTCACTCACTGCAAGAAAGTATTTAATCAGCTACATATCTAATTTGCCTGTCACTTATGCAATCAACAAGAAAGTATTTAGTGGACTCCTACTTTGATCCCCCCCCACCCCCTTTGGAAGACTTTGATCCCCTTTTTTTTTCTTCTATAAAAACATAACTAGCTTTTTTTTAATCTGCTGTTATCTATTGTCAGTATTTCCCGACACCTCGCTTAAACAGTTTAAGTGCTCGAAGCAGTTGTAGTCCTATGGGCAGTACAATGCATGATGTGCACTCCACTGGTCATATTTTTGACCCACTAGCCGTTAAAAGAGAGGAGCCTAGCCCAGAGGCTCATTACAAGTCCACACGTACGGAGTTTCTGCAGAAGTTCAAAGGAAAGCGGCCACAAACAGAATATATCAATAATAATAATAATAGAACTGATAATAATAATAATGATACAAACAGTTTGAAAAAGCCAAAACAAGAGTATGAAGAAGGGCTGCTAGAGTGGGAGGAAACTAACTTCCGCCATTCTCCACTGTTTACTGGATCTAACACTTCTAAAAGAAGAGTTCCCGATCATAAAACAAGAATAATGATGGAAAACAATATTGCTGCCACACCAAGAATGGCAATGCCTAATTCGTGCAGGAGCCTTGATAGCATGGTGGCTAAACCCCCCTATTTCTTTTATGGAACCATCATGAACTTATCTCATGACACTTGGGTCAAAATCTCACAGTTTTTGTATGCGGTTGAACCTGAATTTGTAAACACTCAATATTTCTCAGCCCTCAATCGTAGGGAAGGATATCTGCACAATCTTCCGACTGTAAAGAGATCTCACGTTCTTCCAAAACCACCAATGACCATTCAGGAAGTGATGCCCCAAACATCGAAATGGTGGCCGTCATGGGATACAAGGAAACACATCAACAACATCAACACAGAGATGGACGGGGTCTCCCAAGCCCGTGAAAAGATCGAAAGGATTATATCCGATTCCAGAGGGCTTCTTACAGCCGAGAGACAGAGAGACATCATTCGTCAGTGTCAGACATTGAATCTTGTTTGGGTTGGGAGAAACAGGCTAGCCCCAATTGAGACTGAGACCATAGAAAATATCCTTGGGTACCCGACAAACCACACCCGAACTGCTGGTTCCACATTGGCAAACAGGCTCCAGCTGTTGAAAAACAGCTTTCAGACAGATACATTGGCATATCATCTCTCCACCTTGAAATCTTTGTATCCGGAGGGGTTGAGGATGCTGTCTATCTACAGCGGGATTGGTGGGGCTGAAGTTGCTTTGCATCGGCTTGGGGTTCAGCTGAAAGTGGTTGTGGCTGTGGAACCTTGTGAGACAAAGCGAGGGATTCTTAAAGACTGGTGGGAGAGTTCAGGGCAGAGAGGGGAGTTGGTGCAGATGGAGGATGTGCAGAAGCTAGCCAGTAATAGGATTGAGATTTTGGTCAAGAAGTATGGTGGATTTGATGTCATAGTATGCCAGAATCCTTGCACATATGATCTGAAAAGCAGTGTGGTTGTCGACTCTGATAGTGCCGCAGGTTTAGATTTCTCAATGTTTTATGAGTTTGTACGTGTCGTCCAACGAATAAGGAGTAGGATGGACAGGAACTGAAAACCGCTTCTTCCAGTATGTGAAATGAAAATGGCATGTAATGCTGTACTCAATAACTTGTATTGTGTTCTTTAATTTGTATTTGTAATGTAGGTTATGTCATAGGGCTGATTATTTCAAATTCTAATCAGCTGGTGGTAGCAGTTGTATTGGATGAACATTTGTATGTAATAAGGTAGATGGCCTCTGCAGGAGGGTTAGGAAGGAGGTAACAAGCCTTAATTGATAATCCTTCCTTGGTAATTATAATTGTAACTGTATTTGAAGCCCTAGGGGGCATAGCTCACTAGCTCAGTATTCAAAAGGTTTTCCAAAAACTTTTTTCTAAATCAGCTCCTTATTGGACTCGGGATTATACAATGGTTGGCATAACAAGCATACATCTTATTTGTGTGTGTATGCCTACTAGTCTACTACTGTCTACCTTATGAAGTGACAAGTTCCTGGATATTAGGAAACATTGGAAAACAATGAAAGTTTTGGACTTTTTGGGTAGGGGTGGACTCGGGCCGGGCGGCCCGACCCGGAACCGGCCCGGCCCGGTGACTGTTCGGCCCGGCCCGGCCCAGGGCCCGGTGGGTCCAGCGGTTCGGTTTGGCCCGGCCCGGGTGATGGGCGGTCCGGGCTCGGGCCCTGTTTTAGGCGAACCGGCCCGGCCGGTTCGGGCCCGGTCCGGGCCGTTTTTTTTTTTTTTTTTTGAAATATTTTTAAGTTTTGGGTTGGATTAGGTATTTTGGGCCATTTGAGGTGGTTTGGGGTTGAGGGGGAGGGGGTAGGGGGTTAAATAGGAGAACCAAAAAAAAAAGGACCGGTTTGGCCTGGCCCGGCCCGGAACCGGAACCGGCCACCGGCGGTTCGGGCTCGGGCCCCAATTTTCTGGCCCGAGGCCCGGCCGGGCCCAGGCCCGAACCGGGCCTGAACTGGCCCGAGTCCACCACTACTTTTGGGGACTCTCTTTTCATTTATGATTGATAGAACGTCTCGATATTTTTTCTACCAAAGGTTCCGGGACTGGATTCGGACTAACTGTTTTTTTTTTAATCCGAGACTGGACCTGGAAACTGGTCTGAGTTTGTTTTAGATACTCCAAAACTGAACATGACTGGTTCCTGTTCCATTTATTTAATAAATAAATGTTTGACCAAGGGGTATAGAATCAATCCGAGAACTAGATTGGGTAAGCCCGGGAATGTTCAGTTCAACCGCTTACGTACGTGACCCAAATATGCCATTGGGTTCACCCCTATTGGATGTGTCCTTGTGTAATTGAGGCACAACAGTGAAGTTTTTCCTCCCCGTAGGGATCCGAGACTCCAAGAGCCCAAGAGGCCCTTAGGAGTTAGGATGAGTTTCATATTTTTGTGATTTTATTTGGAATGTCATTAATGCTTACTTCCATCATTTGAAAAGGAGCCAAAAACTCACAATTTTTTTTGTTTGAGTATTTTCATTATCCGTTATCTGGAAACAGTTCCTATTATATGAGTAAGGTTGCGTTCCGACCCACTCTCACCCCACTGTAGGTGGGAGTTTTGCGGCATTGGGGTAATGATAGAGGTGGACTCGGGCTGCCCGGCCCGGTACCCGGTCTTGGGGCCGGTTCGGGCCAACTGGAACCGCTCTAATCCCGGTGCGGGCTCGGGCCCCCCAAAATGCGAACCGGCCCGGCCGGTTCGGGCCTAATTTATTTATTTTTTTGGTTTTTTCAATTTTTTTTGTTTCTACCTGGTTGGGCTGAGTGTGTTGGGGGGGGGTTTGGGGTTTGGGGGGTGAGGGGGGGGGGGGGGGTCGGGGGTTATTTAGAAAATCAAAAGAAAAGAAATAACATTGAACCGGAATCGGCCCAGAACCGCCGGCTGCCCGGTTCCGGTTCCACCATTCCCATATAAAAGCCCGGCCGGGCCCAGACCCGAACCGAAACCGGCCCGGCCCAGGTCCATCCCTCGGTAATGATGATGATATTGTTATTAAGGCTTTGCCCATCAACTAACATGAATTCATGATGATATAAAATACTCCCTCCGTCCCCCTAACTTTGTCCCATTTTACCTTTTTTCTCCGTCCCATTAAGTTTGCCCCATACCATATTTGGCAATATTTGGGTGGTTACAATTCATTCTTACTTTATTCACACTTTATCAATTCAACACCAACCACACAATTCCACTTTTTCTTAAAATTTGTGCCACACTTCTTTGTCCCAAACATAGTGGGACGGAGTAGTAGGCTATAGTGGTTGCACATGTGACATACACGTGACATGTCTATTTCACTTGGAGCAATTGTACACGGGTAAAAACCTTGGAGTTTAGCCCATCTAAATTCAAGTTAATATCACTCGGCATACACCAATAAAGACCGGAGCAAGTACATGATGTACTGTTATTCTGTTAATTAGAGTTACAATGTTTTTATGTTTTCGGTCCCAGATCAGACTTCTATAGTTATAAAATACACAAAGAGCATATCAGACCAACAAATTTTAGTGAAAAAAAACTTATTGTTCAAAAGAGAACTTGTGGAATGATGTTTCTCTTTCGTCCTTAGAATGAAAGAAAGAAAAAAAAGTTAAGACTATAAATTTGATAGTACATTGTTTTGTTTTATATGAATTGAGGGTGTGTGGATCAATCACACTTGAACAAAAAATCGGTGTCTACAACTCTAGTACATATGATTTTGAAAAGGTAATTTACTCCTTCAATCCCTATTTTTTTCACGATTACTTTTTGGATGTTTTTCACATAGTGAAGATTATGAGATTGAGATTTGTGTAGAAAACAAATCATTGAAATTGAGGTTTGTATAGAAAACAAATAATTGAAGTAGAATCGAATAGCCTTTCTTTAAAAATGAGAAGAATTTGGTATACAGGAGTATTTCACCTTCACTTGGAATTGTACTTGCTAATGTATCTCTTCTTTCGGTTTTTCCATGGATATGTATCTTTAATTTTCTTGTATCTTTCAACTCCTTGTACTTTTAAATGATTATTAATAAAATTGGGAAGTGTTCCCCGGCAAATAATAATAATAATAATAATAAAGAAGAAGAATTTGGTATATTCCAAAAAGGGAAATGAGAAAAATGTTTTGGGACTACAAAATAAGTACTGTCCAGACTTGTTTGCACGAAAATATGTTATTGAAATGTTTGTCCATACTCCTTAAATCTGTAATTTTTTTTACACCAGCTTTTATGCCACATTCACATCGATTTTTTCCCACTTGAACACATATTCCTCTCAAGTTTAATGTGTATGTATGCAAAAGTAATCAATCGCCTATGTCATTGTAATGGTAAATTGATTTCATTGATAAAACTGTGTCTATGTCAATCTTGTCTATCAAATGCATAGTAGGTACGGTACTCCATTTTTTGAATGGGTACCGGAGTTGTCATCATATAAAATACGTAGTAGTATATTTCTGGATAAAGGTGTAAACTATATCAAAGAGCTAAAAATGTCCTATTACAAGGAGTATAACCCCAGATGGCCAGATGTCACCAACAGTACAAAGAAATCGACTATACTAATTTCATAAGATAATAATAATAAAAAGATGGTCTATCAAGTTCACTGGATAGTGTCTATACAAAACTTTATAGACCATATCTTTAATCTAGATTATCATATCACATGAGTTTGTAGTACCGTTTGCAAATATTGTAGAAACCTTGACTTCCCAATAGAGTAGACTGAACAGCAGAATTCATGTCTTACAGCTTTGCTTTCTAACCCAACTCCTCCAAACTCCTTGAGCCATTTAACTACATTAGCAATGGTGGATAATGATCTTGTAACTCCTAACCAATTGCAGATTTTTCTCTAATAGTACCAGTTATAGGACACTTGAAGAAGAGATGATCAATACATTCCGCATAGGAATGAGAAAAGCAACAAATTCTTTCAATATCCATGTACGGAGTATATAGTAAGCTGAAATGATGGTGAATATATGACTACAATAAAGTCAATAGATAAAAATGTGACTTTTATACTTTAGTGACCATAATAGTAACTTTGGTACTCATTATTATGTTCATATTTACATTTAAGTTATCGTCACAATGTACTTATTATAACTTTAGTCACATTTTTGTACGTTATCAATAGTAGTAAGTCAACTTCTAAAGCTTAACCATAGGGTGACTTGAAAGTTAGGGGTATAAATCTTGAAGTTTTCTGGTACCATTTACCTCAAACAAATCATACACGTTAGATGCAACTAGTCCTCCATGAAACAAAACATGTGAGCAATTTTCTTCATCAGATGGAAAGCCCTCGAGGGGGAAGCGTATACCATACAGCCGGCTGTACGGCTGGGCACCGTACAGCCGGTGGCATTTTTGTAATTTTGATGAAGTTCACGATTTGTCGTAAATGAGCATTGATGTAATTTTATTGAGCATCGAGTCTGTTCTTCTGAGTATTAAGAGCCTAACTACGAGCACCCGTGGTCTCTGCTTCATACCTTCTAATTCAGTTTCTTTTTATTAATTTCCGTTTTTAAAAAATTCTTAAATTGTGTTTGTAATTAATTTCAATATGTCAATCTATTGTAGTATGATATGTTTGATATGTGCATCATTTTCAAATGAGCATAAACCAGTACCAAATGTGCATACCTAATTTACAAAATGAGTATCAAAAAAATCAAAACTTCATTTGTGTATGCTCATTTATTTTGGGCGTTATATTTAATATATGCATCATTTTAAAATGAGCATAAAGCAATACCAAATGAGCATACATAATTTACAAAATGAGTATCAAAAAATTTAAAAGCTCATTTGTGTATGCTCATTAATTTTGGGTGTTATATTTGATATGTGCATCATTTTAAAATGAACATAAAGCAGTACCAAATGAACATACATAATTTACAAAATGAGTATCAAAAAATTCAAAATCTCATTTTGTGCATGCTCATTGATTTTGGCGTTATACTCATTTAAGTTTAACATAAAACTCATTTTTAATGTGTTTAATATTTAGTTGTGTATGTTCATTTCTTTGAGGCGTATACTCATCTGAGTTTAATATAAAACTCATTTTTAATGTGTCTAATATTCAGTTGTGTATGTTCATTTTTTTAATGTGTATACTCATTTGAGTTTTTTATAAAACTCATTTAAGATCAATAGTAGTAGGGACTTCCTTTTTCTCCAGTAGGATCCTTTGTCTTCCAAAATCACAATCTCAATCTCAATCACCAAAATTGAATAAGAAAAAGAGAAAAAAGAAAAGAGTGAAAAGAAAGACAGAGGAAATCTGTTGTGCCCGTTCTAGGAGATCAGCTGTGAGAGGCAACTATCTAGGAGAGAAAGAGACAAGTGGTGCGAAGCAG